TTGAGAGATGCATTAGTGTTTTCTCTACCCCTGTTCCACTGTGTTCCGTGAGCCTTAGGTGTAGAGGTCCATTGTTGATGTGTCACTCGGGGTTAGACATCTCATAGACGATTTTTCTCTGTGTGTGACCAGTTATGGAACTCTAATAGTCTTTGTTTGTTGCAAAAGAAGCTTCTTTGGTGAGTGGTGACTGACATACTTGTCTGTAAATATAAGGATCCATATTTAGCACATAGTAAGAAATTATATTTGTCTAGGGATGTGACAGATGTAGGTTTTTCCCTAGAATCTATGACCTCTCCAGCCAAGTGTATTTGGCTATGTTTACAGTGCCACACAGGAGTTTCTTCCCATTGAATGGGCTTAATGTTCAACTAGAGAGCTGTTGATTACCCCAGGATAAAAGTGCCGCTCCTGCACCAATGTAATTTGCTGTGCTGGTCATTGCTGTGGTTTTTAGGCTTCAAAGCTGGGGTCGAACCATAGATTGATTTTCTTCCTTAGCAACTTGCATAGTGTCCTCCGAAACTATGAGAACTAGACTTCAGGGAGGAGGATTCCAGGTCAGTTCCAGCTCCATTGCTCCAAGTCCTGTGTCCGAAGTATTCTCCATGGCCAATAATGGGTCATTTGGGGGTTTCTGTGTTATTTTTATGTTTTAACCTCCCTATGTTATCACCAGTGGCTCTGCTGGAACTCCTGCAGTTTTATCCCACCCACCACCTGAGCGTGTCTGCCTCTCACCCTCTTCCCAACAGTGCAGCCCTCTGCAGATCTCTGTATTTGTGCCTCATTGCTGATGAACTCTTCCTGTTTGATTACACAAAACGTTTTAGGGGTCGATCTGAGATTGTATTCCCTGTATCATGGATTTAGAGTTTAGTCCTTTACCCATTTTCTCAGTACGTTCAGGGTCACTGGGTGGTGGGGAGGGCCACTTTTGTTCTTTTCCCACGGCCTGGGATGTGTCTCTGGTCCTCTCCCTGGTGCAGCTTCCTCTCCTCCCTGGCCCTTTTGGTTTGGACCAGCCTTTCCAGTTCTCTGTCCCTTTGGAGGTATCTCATCCTTGCTCGCCCTTTCTCAAGGCTCCCTTGGGACTCTCTCCTCAGGCACTCTCCAGGCCTCTGGGAGCTCTCCAATCATTTCTCTTGGGACCCGGGCCTTCTGTTTCTTCTTCCAAACGTTAGTTTTATTTTTCACAGAAGAGCCTTAAATCCTGAAAGAATGTGTCTAGAGGACCAATAAACCTGAGCACCTACCCCATGAGATTTGGCAAAGAATGCCTGGACTCACAGTCCATTGAATCAGATGGCCTCAGACAGCTGATTAGAAACTGGTGTTTTAAAGGAGCAGGACAAGCCTGCCTACTGCCTCGTATCTCCAATTCTTTGCTTTGTCCTCAAAGCAAAACATGCCTTTTCCTCTGCAAGGAATAAATAGCATTTTCATTGCAAGGCAAATGAAATCACTTCTTGACCATTGGCTCCCCACTTAGAAGCAATTGCTATATGGCAGGCATCACGAATACACTGCAGGATTGATCTGTGGTTTTACTATAATGTATGTAAAGTACCAATTAATACTCTGAGGGCTCTTTGAAATGCCTGGGGGAGAAAAGTAAGAGGTGCTCAGTGCTTTAACCAGTCCAGGCCGCCCAGTGGGTTCTAGAGGAGTTCCCCTGTGGCTTGGGAAGTTTGTGTCTGGCCTGGGAACATATCTTGGATGGAGGAGTCAGGGCCATGGGACTTGGCCGGGGGTGGGGGGGTGGGAGGTGAGGTCACAGTGTAGGTAAGTCATAGGCCAGCTCTATGTCTTAGTTGTTTCTGTACCTGGAGACTGTAGGAGGCGGCTGGAGGCAGTCTTGGAAGACTGCTGAGGGAGTACCGATTCATCTGAATGATTCACGCAATGCATGTGTATGTGAGTAAACTCCATGTACAGTGTCCTGGACTCAGAAGCCATCAGGGGCCCGACAGATCATTAAATGAGTCCTCTGGTGGCTTGGTTCAGGATAAAAGGTGCTGGAGAGATGGCTCAGCGGTTAGGAGCACTGACTGCTCTTGCAGAGGACCCGGATTCGAGTCCCAGCACCCACATGGCGGCTACGAACTGTCCTTAACTCCAGTTCCAGGGGAATCCGAAGCCCTCTTCTGACCTCCACGGCACTGTGTGACATGGGTGCACTCACATGCATGCAGACAGTACACTCATACACATAAAATAAAAATAATAAAATATTTTTAAAAAATGCTCCATGAACAGATGACCAGATTGCACCAGCCTGGTTTTCATGGGGCATCTCCCTAAAGGAAGAACTTGTGAGCTGAGCCCTGGAAGGAGGGAGGGGCTGCAGATGGGAAAGGAGGGGCTCAGGGAGGAGCAGGGTGCGGAGGGAAGGGAGCTGTATGTCAGGCTGGGGAGGCAACAGGGCCCTGGGTGGTCACGGTGGGCAATTCAGAGCCTCAGGAGGAAGGAGGAGGGAATGTCTGGCTACATGTGGTCCCTGGAGGAGGGGACAGTGAGGGGTGCAGGTGCATAAGAAGGATAGCAAATTTGTTCTAGAAACGTCCTGTTTACTACATCTGTAGGTTATGTAGTCTGGTTAGTGTTTTTTTTTTTTTTTTTCCTGGAGCTTGGGATACAGGTCAGATTTTGGGAGATAAGAGGGGAGGGGTCTCTGGCAGAAGAAGTGAGTGTCTTTGAGTGGGAGGACAGCAAGAGCCTCCTGGGGACAGACAAGCAAGCTTCTGTGGGGTCACACACCTGCTTCAGATTCTCAGGGAGACCTGGGGCCTGCTGGTCTTCAGGCCCTGCTTACTTGGATCACAGCCACTTGGTGGCCATGGTCTTCTGGCTGATGCAAGATGTGAGCCACGGGCTGGCAAGATGGCCAGCAGGTGAAAGTACTTTCTATGAAAAGTTGGGGACCCGAGTTTAGTTCCTGGAACCCATGGTGGAAAAAGGGAACGTACTCCCAAAAGTTGTCCAGCCATGTGTGCCGTGGCATGTGAATGCTTGCACACACACACACACACCCCCCCCCACACACATACACACACATACACACACATACACACACATACACACACACACCCCACACACATACACACACATACACACATACACATACACACATACACACACACATACACATACACCCACACACATACACACACATACACACATACACATACACACACATACATACACACATACACACACACAAAAATTACACCCACGTACACACATACACATACACATACACACATACACACATACACACATACACACACATACACACATATACACACATACACACATACACATACACCCACACACATACACACATACACATACCCAGAAACAGACACACACACACACACACACACACACACACACATACACATACACCCACACACATACACACATACACATACCCAGAAACAGACACACACACACACACACACACACACACACACATACACATACACCCACACACATACACACATACACATACCCAGAAACAGACACACACACACACACACACACACACACACACATACACATACACCCACACACATACACACATACACATACCCAGAAACAGACACACACACACACACACACACACACACACACATACACATACACCCACACACATACACACATACACATACCCAGAAACAGACACACACACACACACACACACACACACACACATACACATACACCCACACACATACACACATACACATACCCAGAAACAGACACACACACACACACACACACACACACACACATACACATACACCCACACACATACACACATACACATACCCAGAAACAGACACACACACACACACACACACACACACACACATACACATACACCCACACACATACACACATACACATACCCAGAAACAGACACACACACACACACACACACACACACACACATACACATACACCCACACACATACACACATACACATACCCAGAAACAGACACACACACACACACACACACACACACACACATACACATACACCCACACACATACACACATACACATACCCAGAAACAGACACACACACACACACACACACACACACACACATACACATACACCCACACACATACACACATACACATACCCAGAAACAGACACACACACACACACACACACACACACACACATACACATACACCCACACACATACACACATACACATACCCAGAAACAGACACACACACACACACACACACACACACACACATACACATACACCCACACACATACACACATACACATACCCAGAAACAGACACACACACACACACACACACACACACACACATACACATACACCCACACACATACACACATACACATACCCAGAAACAGACACACACACACACACACACACACACACACACATACACACATACACACACATACACATACACACATACACACACATACACACATATACACACATACACACATACACATACACCCACACACATACACACATACACATACACACATACATACACACACACACACATACACACACATACACATACACCCACACACACACACACATACACATACACACATACACACACATACATACACACATACACACACAAAAATAATAGTAATAATTTAAAAAGTACTAGCTGCTCCACATTCATCAACCTAGCAGACATCTGGTGCTCTAGGGAGGGTCAGACACAGTCTGTGCCCCTGGAACACTGTCATAATATGCTGTCATGGCCTCTTCTACTATGGGATGGTGCTGAAGGGCAAGAATGTCTGGTGGGTCCCAGGAGATGAAAAGTAACAGGGGCAGAGAGAAATTATGTTGGTGGGCCAGATGGAGTGTGGCTCCTTGCACAGGACAAAGAGGGCAGGATAGAGGAGAGGGGAGCTGGGGATGCGTCCAGGGAAGCCTTGTTACTATCTGTAATCTACCTGTCCCCAAATCCCCATAGGCAAGATGTCCTTCGAGGGAGCCAGGCTCAGCATGAGGAGCCGGAGGAACGGGAGCACCCGAACCCTGTACTCCAGTGTGTCTCGGAGCACAGATGTGTCCTACAGCGACAGCGTAAGTCTACACTGAGCACTTGATGTAGTTCTACACTGAGTACTTGGTGTAGTTAGGATGATCTGGTGACCAATCTGCCTTCTTCCTAAAGATCATCTCTCAGTGTCTAGATAGTACTTATGAGTTATTTTGTGGGGAACCTTAATCATACTTTGGGTAACCTGGGTGCTGTCCTCTTGTTCCCACCCTGGGGTTTAGGACGAGCTTCTGAAATCCATGTCTTTGTGTTTCTGCGATGTTCCTGTTTCCTGGTTGTTTTCTCCGGCCCATCTCTCTTCATCCAGAGCCAGCACTTACATTGCTATCAGGGTTCAGCGTGACAGGCCGTGGCTTCTGGGCACCAGGAGGCTGCTTCTCTTGAGCTTTACTCAGGCCACACGTGGTCCTCCAGCTTTCTACACTATCAGGCGTGATACATTCCCATTTGTCAGGACATTGCAGCCTGATACCTGGCCCCCTCTGACTACAGTGTTAAACACTGGGGTGGAGGCTGGCTTTGCAAAGAGAAGGAAGGAGCAGGAAGAAGAGAGAGAGCTAGGGTACCGGTCATGTTAGCATCCTGATCTGACTGCTGGGTTGTAAGGGGCTGACTTTGTGCCACATCACTGAGCTGCCGGGACGTGTACATACAGGAACAGCAGAAGCCCGCACCTTCCTCCAGTGGAGGCTGGCCTCCAGGGCTGAGACAAGGCAGGGGGATGCTCAGGGCACAAAATATAAAGAGGTGCCCACTCTGAGCTTTTCATGCCCTGAGGACTGAGCACTTCCTCTGGCTTTAAAAAGCTCTTAGGTTTCACCCTAGTCCTGTCCTACGACAACACAGACGAGGCAGTGGGGACTTCTCCAGCGTCCACCTCTGACTCTCCTCCTCCTTATTCTGTGACCACAAGCAGTGCAGCTCCCACTGGGAGGCTCCTCCCGACCGTCACTTGGCCTCAGGCACCAGTGTCCCTAGGAGAGGGATGCAGGCTGATGCTTTCTGTCGCTGTGCTCTTGCAACCTCCCCCTGTAATCCTCCCCTTGGCCCCCAACAATCCCCCCAACCAAAAGTCCTGAGTAGAACTGCTGAGACTCCCAAAGGCTTCTCTGTTCTGGGGGTGGTGGTGGTAGCTCTGTTTCCCCCCTGAACACATCTCCCTGAAAGTGCATTTTCAGAGGAAGTTTTTGCAACAAAGCAGTTTTTTTAAAAAGTCATCACCCCTCTTCTAGAATCATTTCACAACTCATGCAGCTGCTGTTTCCTTCATCCATGTTAGACAGACTCCAAGTCAGCTAAGCAGATAAAAAAATGATCTCACGAGGAAAATTGGGCATCACAGATTTTCAAATACTGTTCATGCAGAGAAACATAAAAAGGATGATTATTTTTTCTTTCTAAATGGTTGTGAAATACACAAAGAGCAAGTGTAACTTCCCAGACTCAAAGAAGCATCACTCCAAGTCCCCTGGGACCAACTCCAACTTGGTAAACCAAATACCGCTGGTACTACCAAGTATCTACGTGCTGGGTGACACACACCTTTGATCCCAGCACTCAGGAGGTAGAGACAGGTGGCTCTCTGAGAGTTCAAGGCCAGCCAGGGCTACACAATGAGATCTCATCTATAGATAAGATAGATAAGGTAGATAGATAGATAGGTAGATAATAAGAGACTGAAGCCCTCATGTGACCTCCATGCCAAATATCCTTTCCCCCTCATAGGTAACAACCACAATCCTGATTTTTGTCATTAATGCTCTGCCTTGATTTAGAACTGTCTATGTTGTTTGTCTTTTTTGATACACATGCAGCTGTGTTCTAAGTATTCTTTGTGACTGCTTCATTCTTTTGCTTAGCAATTTTGTTTTGGAGATTAGCACATATCAATGAGTATAGTAGTTGTAAATTCATTGTCACACATTGATACACACAGTAGATGTAAATTCATTGTCCTGCCGTGCAGAGCTCCTTTGTGGGCTTCTGTTTGCCCAGTTTAAAGAAGGGGGCACTTGGGTTTCCGTCTTTTGCTATGAGGGGAACACTGCCCACTGCACACTGGATGTGTACTCTAGGTCTCCCTAGAAAGTTCCCTTTGAGCTATGACCTTGAAGGCGAAGGTAGATTTTTCTACTTCAAGCGGTCTTGGTTTAAGAAATGGGATTTATGGGGCAACTCATATTCAAAGGGTGAGACAGAGGACATAAAGGGTCCCAGTGTCTGATACTCCTGGACATATCAGGGCTGGGGGGATAAAGGGGTGGGGCACGGTAGACTCCATTTCAGGAGGCAGACTCTGTGTGGTTGATGCTGGCCTTGCTGTGGGAAGACAGGAAGTTAGGGCTGGCTTGGGTGCTAGCCGGTCTTGTGAGGACTCCAGCTGCCCAGGGAAGGAAAACCCTAGCAGCCAGCCTTCCCAGGGCCCAACACCTCTGAGGAGGACCTCAGTGGCAGGAGTTAGAGAGCGCAGGTGGCGTAGAGGTAACTCCTGTCTCCACAGGGGACTAGTCTTCAGGGAAATGACTTTGCTGGCAATAACAGACAATTGCCCTGAGCAGTACCAATTTACTCTCTCATCCACTGTGGACACGCGTTCCTCCACCCTCCTCTTCATCCTCACTGGCTGTTGATTGTCATCTTAAACGCTGTTAACCTGATGGGTGTAAAGGGGCTCTCCCCGGGTTCCACTTTTTCCCTAACCGGGCTGGTTCTTGTGTGTTCACGTCTTACCTGTGTCCCTTTTCCACATCGGTTCTACCTCTTGCTACTGTCCCACTTTGTTCTTGCTGATTGATAGTTCTTTTATATTCTGGTCACCGTCGTAGAATGATTGATTGATACTGAAAATTCTCTCATTGTAAGAAACAGGTATTTTCCATTTTTTCATCTGTAAGAGACATTTTTGGTTTATAAAAGCCTTGGTTGGTTGTCAGAACTAGCTCCCAGATGGGCCTGACCACCTTGCCCACAGTAGGATGAACTGGAAGGACATTTGGAAAACATCCCTTTTAAACAAGCAGGAGGAAGGGGAATGGAAAACTACATTGACAATTTTTCTAATCCTACCTACCATCCAATGTGTCTGTTTCTTGGTAACCGTGGAGATAGAACAACATAATGTGTATGTGTCTGATGCCGTGTACATAGAAGATAACACTAAGTAACTTTTGGAAATGTTTTCATTTAGTTAAAAATGTAAATGTATGTGTCATAAAAACTTGAAGTATACTAAAATAAACAAATGAAGGATGCCATGACAACCTTTGAAGGAGGGTGAGACTTGCTTAGTATTCATTGACTCCAGCAAGGGCCGAGAACAAACAGATAATTTCTTATTGCATGGTCTTTATTCGCAGGACATGGTGAATTTCATTCAGACAAATTTTAAGAAGCGGGAATGTGTCTTCTTTACTAAAGACTCCAAGGCCACGTAAGCTAATAGTTCCTTCCGTTCTCCCGTCTGTGTTTAAGAACAAATTATTGTTGACCACCATTCCAACAGACACCCATAGGTTCCTTGCTAAAGTCGTCTGTATTTTGTAATTCTCAGAAATGGGGTGTGATGAGGACAGATCTGGCAAGCCTACCTGGCAAGCCATTCCCTGTTTCCTCCTGTTCTGTGGTTTCTAGTTTTGGCAAAGTTGCTGAGGGAGGCTGTGGCTCCCTTCAGTAGTCCATGATCCTGGAAGCCCGCCCTGCCTGGCGGCCTCGACAATGAGCACTATTTCATGGTGGTTTGCAGGTGGCACTACACATGGGACTGGTCCTTCTTCTCAGCTGTGGTTCTTGGTCCTTTGCTTCTTCTTGGGTGTTCCTGGACTCCGTGCATCCTGTTTTTGGGGGGTTGGCTGGCTACATGATCAGTTCTTAACCAGTCAAGCACCTGGGGGGTGACATCATCCACAATGTTAATCAGCTGAGGTTCAATCCTACTCACTGTTCTTACAGAGGATGGCTCTGGATCTAATTATAGGATTTTAATTAAAAAATATTAATTATTTTTGTTGTATGTGTACGCACGTATTGCTTGCATGTAGGTAAGTGCACCCATGCAGTGCAATGCCCGCAGAGGAAAGAAAAAGTTGTTGGATCCTCTGGAACTGGAGTTATGGACAGTTGTCATAAGACCCGGGATTCGAACCCGGGTCTTCTGCAAGAACAGCCAGTGTTCTTAACCACTGAGCCATCTCTCCAGCCCCTGATTTTAATTTTTAAAAAAATTCATTTATTTATATTTTATGTGTTTGAGTGTTATGCCTGCCTGTGTGTAAGTACACCTGTGTCATGAAATGACCTTGGAGGACAGAAGAGGGCATTGAAGCCCTTGGAACTAGAGTTATGGACAGTTGTCATAAGACCCGGGATTCGAACCCGGGTCTTCTGCAAGAACAGCCAGTGCTCTTAACTGCTGAGCCACCTCTCCAGCCTAGAGTTACGGCATCTTAATGCTGCTTCCTGCTTTTCTTTTCTCTACCCCTGCTTGCCTGCCTGTTGATGATACAGGAAAGAGTGCAGATATTAACTCAATCGATGGTTGTAGTTTTTAAGGTTGAGCTTTTGTTGAAGGAGGCAGTGCAAAGGGCAGGGATGTAAGACAGGAAGAGCTTTAGAATCAACGTTAGTTCCCACAGTGGCTTGGCTGCCTTGTCCCTGTATGACATACAGTCAATTATTCTTTGCCCTGCACCAAATCCTCTTACCTTACAAGCCTGCTAAAGGCATACCCCTGGGGTCAACTAAGGATGACGTAGCACTTAAAATACCTCATAATGCCTCAGAGCTCAAAGGGTGTCAGACAGGTGTGCTTTCTGACTTCATGTTAAATAGACAATGAACATCAGGAAAACCTGAGATCTCCATTGAGGCACCAGCATACACATTCTAATTATGAGTCACCCCAGCACAGTGTACACACTGTGGATCAGCTGCTACTCCATGGATGTTTCACTGAGGGATTTTGTTGCTAAGCTGCTCATCTGACTGGTAGAGAACAGTTTGGTTCATTCATACCCAGTAAACATTTTCTGAGAATCTACTACATCACAGGACTCTCTTCATTTCTTCTTTAGTGATGCTGGGGGAGGGGTCAATACCAGGGCATCGTGTGTGCCAAGCAAGTGCTCTGTGCTGGGCTACAGCTGTAACCTTATCACAGGAATTCATATACTTGATTTCTAATACTACAAATCCCCTTGCAAAGCAGCCATGATCACTTGACAGATAAGCTAAGGGAGACTCCGAAGGGGCCAGTATTTACCCAGGGTCACATGGAAGCATTACGGGGATTTGGACCCAGGCTTTCTGATTCCAAGCTGCCTCTGTTTCTGATAATGACTTCGCAGCAGGCAGGTCCTCAAAGGGCTCAAGAGTCTGTCTTCAGTTGTAGCAAGAACAAGTGGGGCATCTTCCATCCTGCCATGAGCTTGGGTGGGTGTGGACAGAAGCCAAAGGACAGCAGGACGTGGCAAGGACAGACAGAACAACATCAGAAGCCGCTTTCCCTGGGGAAGTCCCTGGGGACTCAGCTGGAGCAAGGGCTGCAGCAACCGCTCAGTCTCGTGACTCTTTTTTTTTTATCCTTGGCCAAACTGAAACTCCCTGGGAGCTGTAATGAATGGAAGCAAGGATCCTGCTCAGAAGGGTGACCGGGAACCTAGTCTATAGCTCAATTTCTATGATTTTATAAAACATTGAGTAGTTTAACAAATATTTTGGATGCAGATAATTTTTATAACTCTATAGTAATTAAAAGTTCCCATTACAGAGAGCCTAACAAGTCAGGTACATGGCTTTAATCTTAGCACCTGAGAGGCAGAGGCAGGTGGGTCTCTGTGAATCTGAGGCCAGCCTAGCCTACATGGTGAGACCCTGCCTCAAACAAACACAACAAACCAAACCGCAAACACCCCAAAGAGCTCAGCAAGCTCAATGAAGAGGGAACTTGCTATGGGAGGCAGGAATGTGGTCTGACAGCAGGCAGAGGCTGGGTCCCTGGGGTACTTGGAAGCCCCGACTGGACTTGTGGGGACTGAGGAAGTCCTCTCTCAGCACTGCTCACTCCACTCCACCCTGCACCTGTTTCCTTCTCTCTCAGCCCCGACAGGACTGTGTTGTGTGGCCTGATTTTCCATGTTGCAGGCCTAGACCTGGAGGGAGATGGGTACAAATCTTTCGGCCCTGATTCAGATTTTCCCCCAGGTTTCCAAGAAAGGGACACCAATGCTAATATTGAATTAACTTCCTGTCCCTGAGTCTGTTGATTGTGAGTGGGTCCACAGGATTTAAATGCACGCACAGACTCATCTTGATGCAACTGTGCAGATGGTGTTGGGGAGCGATCTCTGTCTCATCAGGACACACGCTGAATGTGTAATCTTCAGCAGGGACCTGTAATGAGATGGCATTAGCGGCATTCGCCCCCTGATGACAGCAGCTGCTGCTGAAGATCTCTGATTAGATGCTGTTCTTCCTCATTACAGTTTCTTCCTTAAGTGGCTCTGGTAGCTACCCCAGCCTCGGCACTTCACAAAAATAGACTATTAGCAGAACAACCTCAGGTCCCTGGATCACAGCCGAGGTCACTGCTTCCGGGCAGCAGAAAGGAACAGTTTGGTCCAGCCACACTTGTACCGCATCTAGAGTGCCCCAGTGCTTGCCTATCCAGCGATGACTCTCTTCTGTTGAATTTTTAGAAGCAGTCATAAAAACACGTATCACTCTCATCCCTTTGTTAATGAACTGCGACCTACGGCCAGACCCTGGCTTTAGAACTCCTTGACATTTGTCATTTGCCAAATAAACTCAGTGGCAAAGACCATGAAAACACAGCCGTGGTCAAAGGCAGCTATGTATATGTGCCCTGGTATTTTGGAAGGAGGACCAAAGCATCCGCCTCACACAAATCGATGACAATACTTAAAAAGAAAAACCTTTTCAGTTGCTCATCCATTCATAGAATATTTGCTGGAGAATGTAAGATAAAGAATCCAGCCAGAAACAACCCTAACAAGATTTTCTCAATTGATACGTCTTTATTTGGCTCAGCTGCTGAGGGGAATACTTGCTCCAGGGTCACCTTGTGTGACTATCTGGACCACGTAGGGCACAAGGATGCTGGGGGTGAGTGGGACTTGAAGCTTTTAGTCTGTCCCCACACCCTAGCATAGGCCCACATCTTGAACCATAATCTCTATTGTGGGAACAGGGACACTGGTTACAGTGAGCAGTATTGATCCCCCAGACAATGGGTATGAAAGAGGACATTGGATATTTGCTTACTGATGGTGGTCATGGTGCTGGATCCACTGTTCCCTTGCCCTTACTCTGTCCCCCTGGCCCGCTGTGCTTATCAGACATAGTCTTCACATCGTTACTCACCAGGCCCCTCAGGACAACACCCTGTTGTCCTCCCCTGGCCTGGCCTTGTAGTTTGTTACCGTTCATTTCTTTAGAGATTTCCTCTCAAGATGTAACGCAGCTCTGGGCAGAGTGAGGCCAGATAATCATGGGCTATGGTTGAGGATTGTTTTTGTTTTTAACTGTACCTTTACTTCTGCTTGGTTATCTCATCCTTCACTGTTCCTTGACTCAATGTACCACCCTGGGCTGACGGTCTTGTAGGCACAGCATGTGTGGTGTACCAGGCCCACCAGCTGCTTTGCACCATTTCCAACCCTGGCAGGAGAGGGGCTGTGCCAGGACAAAAGGAAGCATTGGGTCAGTCTCTCCACGCATTCTGCCAGGTTTGTGCATCCCAGGAGATGCTGAGCAACTTCAGGACAGGAAGTCACATCCCACTCAGTTTGGGATGTTGAAGAGCTCAGGCAGGTGTGATGCAGACTGATTCCCAATCAGTGTTTGTTGAACGATGACCGCACACTGTGGAAAGAGCAGAGAAAAAAGATCGTCACGTCATGCTTAGCTTTTTTCCCTCTTTCTACTTCCTGTCACACATGTGTGTCATTTAATGATAGGTACATTTAGTTTAGACGCATGTTTCATGGGGAGAACTGGTGTTCATCACTACAGCTGCCCTTGTTTACCTCAATTATGGAGAGTCGCCCAAGCAACTACTGTCTAGTAGAGAAGGTGATCTGTAAACCCTGGAGCACTCTGGGCCCGTCAGGGAACTGTGTCTCCCCGGTGAGTACGGCTCACGGGACGAATAGCTTTACCTGCCTTCAGAAGAGCATCGCTGACTGAGAAACTGTCAAGGTCAGCATTAAAGAACTAAGGCCTGACTGTTCCAGGCTCCCAGGGGTTAGGTCGGACTCGTGTGAGGAGCTCAGTAAATGGTTCCTGGATTCCTGTACTCCTGGTTCCTTGCACAGCTAATGGGCCCCATGAGGGCAGAGCCCTGCTCTCCCCTCCCAGCTTCCAGGAAGGGTCAACTCATTGGTGAATGGATAATGATCACTATGAATAAAACATCAAAACAGTCTTTAGATAACCAACAGAGGTGAGGAAAACCTGAAAATAAGATGTGATGGTAGAATTTCATCTTGTGTTGACTAAAGTTAATAATGCATGATTTATTCCAAGACACGTGACAGACCATTTAAGTAGACTGAAATCTGTTGCTTCTCGCCAACATGGCTGGCTCAGGGAGAACGTGTGCAAGTGTGGCTATGCCCAGAGCCAGCACATGGAAGGCACCCAGATCAACCAAATCGAAAAGTGGAACTACAAGAAGCATACCAAGGAGTTTCCCACCGACGCCTTCGGGGACATTCAGTTTGAGACTCTGGGGAGAAAAGGCAAGGTAAGAAGGACTCTTTAATTTAGCTAACTGATGTGCTGAGACTAACTTGGGCTACTTTGTTACCTACCTTGAATCTTCTAGTAGTGTGGCCGTAGGAGGGATGAGTAATAGCTAACCCCAGGGACAGTGACTAGATTATGTTCAACTGGAAAAACCCAGCAGGTAAGCAGAGAATCGTGGATCTGTGTGTTGTCTGCTGAGCCTGACTGTTAATGGTTGGGGAAAATGCTTCTGTGAATAATAGTCCCTTGAGTTTGGGTTCTGAGAACATACCCAGCTCCAAATAAGGTGAGGTCTCCCTTTCTACACCCACACAAGGGCCCTCAAAGGGAGGTTTACAAGGCGTCTATTTTTCTATCCATCAGAAATAGGCCTTCCTCAAATGCCTCCATGCTCCCTGTCTGAATGACAGCTGGTTCTCCTAGCTGGAAGCTGGGGCCTTTATCCCTCGCATCCTCTGTAGTCCCCAAGGCCACCCAGCTCCACTGACTAGCCTAGCCTCTGCCCCAGGACAGACCAGAGTCTCCTTGCATGCCTGCCCATTGCCTCCTTGGCTCATCAGGGGTGAGCTGATGACCCGGTAAGCATCCCTTGCCTTCCATGCTTCCAGTAGGCTACAGGTGGCATTGCATGTTTTCCACGTGGTTTGTGGGGCCATTCAGGGTCACTCCTCCACATGCTTTCCTTCTGCGTGAGGCCTGGACGTAGGCTTTGCCTAGGGTGCCGCAATGTGTTACCTTGCTGCCCCTGGGCAGGGAGTGGGTACCACCCAGCATCCGCGGGCAGAACACGAACCTGATGCTTTCACCTTCCCACAGTACATCCGCTTGTCCTGCGACACGGACTCGGAAACCCTCTACGAACTGCTGACACAGCACTGGCACCTGAAGACGCCCAACCTGGTCATTTCTGTGACTGGTGGTGCCAAAAACTTCGCTTTGAAGCCTCGTATGCGGAAGATCTTCAGCCGGCTGATCTACATTGCACAGTCTAAAGGTGCGCAGGCGCAGGAGAGTATGTCTGTGGTCATTCTTCCCAGGCAGCCCTGAGTCTTCTGTCCACTTACCTGCAGAATCTAGATGCTCCTAGGACTATAGAATTTTATTTCATTATTAGTTATGTGCATGTGGGGGTGTGTGCAGGTGCCCTTGGAGACACCAAAAGAGGTCACTGGATCACCTGGACCTGGAGTTACAGGCAGTTGTGAGACGCCTCTGTGTGGGTGCTGGGAACCAAACTTAGGGCCCTTGTAAGAGGAATACTTGCTCTTAAGAGCGCTTAATGCTGAGCCATCTCTCCAGCCCCTAGAACTGTAGAATTATTTGCTCTTTTATATCATAAGCAATATTCCCAGGCAGATGGAAGTCAAGCACTCTATCTAGCTGACAGTTTTCCAGAGTAACTCCAAATCAGGCGCTGCCTTAATACCTTAAATCTCCCCATGTTTTAATTTTACTATTTACACACGTAAAGTTATACAAAAAATATTCTAAGGAATCAAACGGACATTTAATTAGATTTCTCTTTCATGTTGGAGATCAGCGATGACCTTTTGGAAACAGAGATCGTATGCCAGGTTGTGAACAGCACTGGGTGTTTGATCTGGATAAAAACAGGCGGCTTTGGTGCCTGCTCTGCCTGGCGTTTTCTTTCTTGTCAACGTTGTGTTTTGAAACTTTTCAAACCTACAGAAATGCTCCTAGAGTAAGACGATGAGTATCTGTACACGCTTCCGGATTTATAACTACGGACGTCCCCACATTTGTCTCTTCTCGTTTTATAAATACGTATTATAATTTGGGGTAAAATTATTTGAGGGCAGATTATAGGCATCGTGGCTCCTAGGCCCCAAATTTGTCAGCATGCATCTCCTAAGAGGAGAGATGTCTCCTTACATATCCCAGCACAGTTTTCCAACCTTGGATGGTTAGCACCGACCAACACTGTCACCCAGCAGTCCTTTCAAGCAAAGAAACTTATTTTCCACTTGGATTCCAAATCCCTTTACCTTTTCATATCTTTCTGTTTTTCTGACACCAACTCTAGCTCTCAGCCTCCATCGTCCCTTGTCACACTTTGAAGAGCACAGGCCAATAGCTTTGTAGATTGCCACTTAAATTTGATAGATGTTTTTCTCATCATGGGGTTCAGTGTATCTGAGCTTAACATTTTGGAAGTTCTTTTACAAAGATGAATTGACTGACAACTAAGGAAACAGGCCTTATTTTAGATACGAGTTTTTCCTTAATGCGAAGAAACTATGAGATTCTACCAGTACCCCATCCCAATTTATTCTCCTCAGTTTCTGACCAAAGGTAGGCATTTGTGTGGGTAGTTACCTTGTTAAGAAATTGAGTGATTTAGCTTCTTATGGCCAACTACTAAACATGTATCATTCGTTCACTCATTCAAAAATGCTTTTTAAGATCCGGTGTGTATCCAGAATTGTTGTAGGTGCTGGGGATACAGCAGAAGGAAACACGTGGAAGTCCCTGGCCTTGGGGCGTGCTGGGGAAATGACTCAGTGCGGAAAGGCACTTGCTGCCAAGCCTCTTAATCTGAGTTTGATACCAAGAATCCACATGGTGAACAGAGAAAGGCAACTTTTGCAAGTTGTCCTCTGACCTCCATGCATGTGCTGTGGCAGGCTTGCGTGCAGTGTGTGTGCAGACAGACACATACCCCGCCCCCCAAATGCACACATACATACACACAGACAGCATAAAAGCCCCTGGCTTAGAAGAGTGCCTGTTTCTATGTGTAGTAGCAAGGTAGATTCTATTTAGATTAGCCAAAGTAGAAAAAGTGTCTGTCACTTTCAGTTGCTTCATTTTAACAGGGAGTACCAAGAACTGGCTTAAGGAAGTGTGTGAACCTTCTTAGGGTGTCAGAGTACGTTATGTTAATTAATAATCTTGGGATTTGTTGTTGTTATTGGTGGTGGTTTTTGGTTTTGCTTTGGTGTTGGGGTCTGAACCCAGGGTCTGGCACATATTAGTTCGACACCCTATTTACTGAAATGTAAATTCCCAAACTGTGGGTGTTTTACATTAAAAATCCCTACAATATGCTTGGCATTGAGATGGTTACTAAATATAAACCTTGAATAAAATGTATGCAAAATTATGTAAAGCAAAGCAGATTTGCTGGGACCAGAAGACTTACTCTGTTCAGACCAATATGGGGTCGTGGGAGCAGAGCACCCTGCTATCCATGACAACCCTACCCAGTAACTCACAGACTCAGGCATGCACTGCCCATGAAAACATTGCCCTGGAGACTTATGACGGGTGCAGATGCGTTGACTCCACCTCCACAGAGGCTGAGGATGTAGATTTAGAATAGGACTCAGAACCAAATGCTTTCCAGTGGACCTTCTCTCAGGAACCTTCAAGGACCTCCTCTTCATGTTTTCCGTATGACCCACTACACAGTGTGGCTCTTGGTGCTGCATCCTGGAGCCCATGGCTGGGGAGTTTCTCTAGGGGTCTGTAAGCACAGGACAGAAACCTTTTTCAGACTTAGCTAAAGTTTTGCTCCCCATCCTCGTCCGCAGGTGCTTGGATTCTCACGGGAGGCACACATTATGGCCTGATGAAGTACATTGGGGAAGTGGTGAGAGATAACACCATCAGTAGGAACTCAGAAGAAAACATCGTGGCCATCGGCATAGCAGCTTGGGGCATGGTCTCTAACAGGGACACCCTCATCCGGAACTGCGATGATGAGGTACATGTAGGGCAGGGAGGTCTGCAAGGTCCCATGAGAGAATGACCGGGGCAGTGTCTAGAGCCCGAGCGTGGGGGCTCTGTGATGGAGCCAGCTTATGGCAAAGCCTGACTTACAAGAAGAGCGCATGGCCCTCAAGAGTTAAAAACCGGAATGGCATACTTAAGGACTCCAAAGCAAAAGTGAACAGTGGAGGCACTTTGTCACTAAAATCTGTCCCCAGCAATCTCATGATGGGATTGACCCATTGTTCTCTTAGCCATGACCTAAATCTGTCTCAGAAGAGTTTACACTGCTGATATAGTCCTGTACGGCTGGGCTGTACTCGCAGGAATTCAAATCAGTCACCCTGTTGCCTACTTGATCTGGCTTTAGGAAGGGTGTGAGGTTCACTCCACCAAATGTTTTCTATGAGCTGATTAGAGAGTGAAAACACTCACTCATATCTTGTTCAGAATACAAAATGGACATAGGAGAACTTGTATCAAGTGTGAAGTTCTGCAAACAGTGAATTGGGGACCTCCTGAAGCCCTACCCAGAAGATTTGGGCTAGATGTTCAGAAATCCAAATTTAACATACACGCTTTCTTCTCTCTGGGGCTCATGCGATGTCTAGATGCTAAAGGTTAAGGAGTTTTGAGATTGCTATGGTTTTTAAAAAAGTGTTTTACTTTTAAAAATATTTATTTAATTAATTTTTTCTTTTTAATTGAATTTTTGTTAATTTC